CCAGGTTTCTGGCTTAGAGAAAAATAACTCTAATAAGTTGGGGCTATTGTTGTTGTTGCTATTTAATTTGTATACTTAGAGGAATAGAAACATATTACTTTGTTTTTGGGGTTAAGTACCACGTACCATTTATATATAATATAATATATAAAATTATATATTATAAAATATAATTATATTATATAATATAAATATATTATAAAATATAATAAATATATTTTATAAAATATATATTATAAAATATAAAATATATAAAATTATATATATAAAATAAAATATATATAATATATATATAAACCTGAAGGACAGAGAGATGATTTAGGAAAATATCATCTGACTTACCAGTAACAGTACTGACTTTGAATATAATATAGTGTTTTGCAATAATATATGCAAATAAACTTTTTTGTTACTAGAGCTTTTAAAATGCCATCTATGCCCTTAGAATAGGGACTCTTGTGGACATGTCAACATATATTCCAGCTTCAGGGCTTTTGAATCACCAAGTGGGTAAAATGGTATAAATTTTAACTTATTTCAGTTCAACATGCATTTTTGAGCAATCCACTGTGATATACATATATTATATTGGGCACACATTTTATATAGTCTAGAGGAAGAAGTATGAAGCACAGGATAGAGATGTCAGTTCAGGTTCCTCAAATAACTTGTCATCTGTACCTCAGTTTCTTTTTCTCTAAGATATAGATAACATGATCAAAATGCTAGCAATATCCTATTTACTTCTTGGTTTGCTGAAAGCATCTATTATGAATGAATATTTTAATGTGTATGTGTAAAGGCAAATACACATATGCACATGTGTATGCATATATATACACATATACATGTCATATGGCAATTTTAGTTTTTCCTAAACATTTCACACAAATGAAGGTTCTTTTGTTTTTATTTTTTGTGGTTTTCTTCACATTATAATGTAGTAGATAGTTGCCGTTATATTTTTTTCTGGATAAAAATGTAATATTTCCTCTGTCAGGGATTTTTCTCTCTGAAATTAACTTATGAAACATGAGGCCACCAGGGTACACCACTGAGTCTGGCATCTTTCAGTGTGTTTTCTGCCTTTCTGGGCTCATGTTTATTTAAGAGGTTGTTCTTGATTACCAAGCATGTCTGCAAGCTGCAAGGAACCTAGAAGTATGTATAAGGAAATTAGACAAGTGTCATAAATATTTGATGTTCCATATGATCCTCCAAAAGTATCTCTAAGTTACTGTGCAGTTCAAGCCTAGGGAAAAGTCCTTCAGCTTCATAAAAGAGAGGAATAAATCTCAGTAAATATTTTCTCTTCTTTATTTCTTTTCCCCAACTTATCCTATCTGTAGGGGAACAGCAAACTTTTGCCTTTTGAGAAACTGATTATCTAGTGGTAAATTATTCCCAACCTTTGATTCTCCTCATTTTATTTTTCTCTCTTTCTCCATTCTATATTTGATACCCACTGGCATTTCTACATAGATTAGGTGGGATGAAATCAAGACCAATTTTACTTGGTATTTTAAAAAAGGTTTACTCCAGCAGCAATTTTTACTGTCAATTTAAAGGACGTTTAGAAATTACTTGTATGTGTCATTCATACTATCAATGTCCCATTAGCCTGTTTTGTTAAGAATCTGCTGCATCACCAAGAGATAAAAAAATGCAACTGTGCATGTACAAAGATAATGACTGCTCATTACCACCTGGCCAGCACATATTTTTATCAAGGCTCAGTTTTCGAAGTTGATCTGAGGATAGATGAAAAAAAGAAAACAAAATAAAAAGCTCAAAAACATGGGAATAGTCCTAGGCAATCAAAAATCAGAGAGGTTAAGTTGGGGTCAAATAACAAGAGGCTTGAGATAAAGAGTTTATTTGCTTGAAATACCAACCTCTCAAGCATCCCTTATATCTTCATGAGGGAAGGCTTTACTGATTACCAATGCTAACAGCTCATTAAGAATATCACACAAAGAAGACAAATTACAGAGTCAAAAAGGTGAACAAGTTAAGTAGAGGCCACAGTTAACCAAGTGCAGGTTCCCTGATTTATGTTTTTTTGTTTTGTTTTGTTTTGTTCTTTTTTTTTTTTTTAGTACCTTGTATACAGTGGAAGTAGACTGAGTTACCAGATACAAGCTATGGATCAAAACTTTGGCTTGGAGCAGCCATATGAGTATTGACTGGGAATAATAATAATTTAGTGCCAAACAATCTAGTGTTCAAACATTTAAAAGTTTCAGAGTATAGCATTTTTGCACTGTAGTCATCATATTGATATATAATATCTTGTTTTTTCCCTAAGTACTAAGACAGAAATTTAAACTCTGATATAATTAAGAGATATTATTAGGGTAGATGGGTGGATGTATGAATGAGGACAAGAAAATCTCTGATAGAAGATTTTGGTATACTGATAGTTTGAACTTAGGTTTAGAAATATAAGCTGTATTTGGGAGTGCCTGGGTAGCTGAGTCATTAGGCATCTGCCTTGGGCTCCCCTTATGATCCCAGGGTCCTGGGATAGAGCCCCGCTTTGGGCTCCCTGCTTGGCGGAAAGCCTGCTTCTCCCTCTCCCACTCCCCCTGCTTGTGTTCCCTCTCTCGCTGTCAAATAAATAAAATCTTTAAAAAATATATAAGCTATATTTGTGAGTCAAACTCCTACAGTATTTGCTATTTGGAGATACTAATGATAATAAGATCCACTGTACTTAACCCCAGACTTTACATTCTAGAGGGATAACTGGATTTTTTGAGATGTTAATACTGAATGAACATATAGGATCAAATTGACATGCAATAATAGGTTCATTTACCCGTATCAAAGATACAGGAAATCAAGAGGCACAGAGGAGAGAGATTGTAGGGCATTTTGCATGACTCTCTGAATCCTTTCTTTGCACATTGGATACATGCATTCTGTCTCCAAGGAAGGTTCTATCAGTTTACCTCATACAACAGAGAGCATTTACATTATGAAATGTCCAATTTTACTCTAGAAAGTGTAAAGCTTCAAGACATTTTCTGATGTGTCATAAGCCATTAATCTACAGATTCTGCTTATTTACTACAATAAGTCTTTAGCAGAGTACATCCTGCTAAGGGCTTTTATAGATAAGGACTCTTCTTCCTATTAAATATTACTAGTCTCTACCCGGAGTTCTAGTTGACAAGGACATTAGACTGACTTACCTTCTTTCTTTTTTTCTCCTCCTGACCCACACCCACTCTTCTCACAACACACATAACAGTAAAACAAGTGAATGAATCTTAGACCAGCTGCTTTAACACTTTCTTCCCCAAATACTAATCAATGAAATGTAACTGAATCAAAATTTGCAAAAACATTTCCCAAAGCCATGTAAATATTCAACCATATGCTACAATTTTGCAACCCTAATAAACTAGTTGAAAAAGACCAAGAGCATGTCTATAATTTGTGGCAAAACTAGAAAGTCTTTGAAATTAAGGAATGAAATAATCATGTAGATAATGGTGGTGATGATGATGATAGTAATTAAGGTCTCACCACTCTTCAAGCTCTTTTCTATATGCTTTATGGGTATGGTATTCTAAGACACATAATAGTGTTCTGGGGTAGGCACTATTATTTTGCTATTTAATAGATGTAGAATTGGGGTATAGAGAAATTCAGTGACTTAGCCAGGTTTACCAGCAAGTAGATTCTGATACCATTAACAAATACAGGTAGTTTGACTCCAAAATCCATGCTATTGACTGCTAGCTCATGTATGAGGAGAATATGGACATATCAAATTCAACATATTTTTACTAATAAAACCATATAATAAATGAGAAGCTGGCTTTTTAAGAAATAATGGTGGAGGTTAGTTTTTGTTGATTATTGCTATTGCAAAAATGAAATAAATATTGAAATTAATGATTAAGCAGTGGTTTTATTGAATATCTGTTATGAATGTAGAGTCACATGATGGGCTAGAAGCACAGAGGAAGTAGAAGACTTAGCAAACAACATGAAACCTGCCAAAAAAGACTAGAAGTTGAATTACAGGATATGGCAAAATGAGATGTAGTTGGGTATCAATGTCATAGAGGTGATAATTGAAGCAAATTACAGAGATAACTTTTCCAAATAAGTGTGATTATCAAGCTGAAACTCTTAAAATGCTTTAGTATAGAAGTGATTCAGAATATGGTTTTAATTTGTAAAATCCTAAATAAGGCGAACGCTGATAAACTAAGCTGAGAGAAGAGTGGTAAACAAGAAAGAGAGAAGTATGACCTACATTGCCATCTGTTGGGGAAATGAACATCTGTCATGTTGAACGAAAGATGAAGTTTGGAAATTCCCAATGAATCTCAACAGCCAGCATTACTATTAAGAGCAAAAACAGATTTCAAGCCTAATTTAGATTTTTTAACTTTTTTTTTTAAATTCGGAAAATATATTTAAAGAAGAAAGAAAAAAATAAATCTCCAATAAGTTAGAAACCATGGCTTTTAAGATTCCTAGATATATTTTTAGATCAAATTAGAATAGAATTGTGCTACAGAAAGAATATTGTCAAAACTTGTCTCCAGAGTAGGTTTTATGCTCTCCAGAAGCATCTTGTTTTCTGACTAATGGAGCTCTGCATTTCACAGGATATGGTAGCAAAAATCCTAGCCTGCAATTATGTCTCAGCTCTACCATGGTGCTATTTCAGTAGTCATTTGAATCTTTGAGTATAAATTCCCTTGTTCGTAAAGTGGATGAGATAGGATTAAGTTATTCTCAAGGTCAACTTTCAATTGCTGTCCTATTTATTATGTGTACCTATTCAAAAATCATCCTGTTAATAATTGTCCTCTTGATAAAATATTTATTTTGTTGATGCAAATAGTATTTTTCCCTCCTTCTCCTTTCTCCATCTCTCCTTTTTCTCCTTCTTCTTCTCTTCATTATTATTGTTATCATTGGTATTGTTATTGTTATTTCTGAAATCTTACATCAATATCTTTTCACTGTTTTAGGGTGGAGTCAGTGGGTTGACTGGAGAATTAGAATTTGGAGAGAATGGAGGAAATCCCAATGTCCATTTTGAAATCCTTGGAACCAACTATGGAGAGGAGCTTGGCCGAGGTATTCGCAAGGTAAGACCAGACATATTGGTACCTGTTTTTTCCTAAAGTAACTATAGGTTTGTTTGATTTTTCTCCATGTCATATGATCATAGTATGCATTAAAGCCTGTATTGTAGTTTGAAAGAGAATGGGGTGGGGAGAATTAGGCATTTAAATGACCTTAAGTACTTATCAGAAGTATTAAGCAATAAATTCTATTATGCCTTAGAATAATTTAAAGGGAAAAAAGTAACCCAATGGTTTCCTAGGGAACTAGCATCATCTTCCATTCATTATAATGGTAATTTGTATAAAGCAGTGAATTCAATATTTATATAATGAATAACTGCTTGGTTTTTAACTTGTAACAGCCACAAAATCAGAATAAGAGCTTTGATACATTTCATATAGAAAGAGGAAAACTCTACTCTAAACTGTGACATTACAGTAGTTCAAATGCTATGTGTCATGTAATAAGTAGAAAATGGTTTGCAGGAAATGAGCTCTTACTCTATACTACAAATCACATGTAAAAGTAGGAGTGCCAATAAAGGATATTTTATGAACTACTGGTTCACTAACTTTCTCAAGGAGAAAATAAAAGCCCCTGCAGAAATGACTTTTCTATAGTTTTATTTGCTGTGTTTATACATTTTTGGTAGGAAAAAAAAAAACAAGATAATTGAGTGTACATCCAGAGCTCACAGCTGTAAATTGGTAGCTATATAAAGGTAACTACATTGAGAATAAGAGTTTCTTCAGTAGGTGTTTCTCTCCAGTGCTGAGAGTAGAATGCAGAAAAACTTAGATATGACAAAGTTAGGAGTTATTCTAATCTGCAGTAAAAACTTCCGGGTAAATTTATGCTAGAGAGGAGTGGAAACTACCTTAATGTGTTTTTAATTATTGTTTTAGAGCAAAACAAAGGAGATTTATAAAAACTCCATAAAACACAAGGATAGTTTAGTGAATTATTTTAAAGGAAACAACCACTACTATAGTCAAGAAATATAACATATCAAGCATCCTAGCCACCCCACATACTTCTGCCTGATACATCCCCAACTTCCTTTCTCAGTAGCATAACCATTAGTTTGAATTTTATGGTACTCATTTCTTTAGATTTTAAGTATAATTTTATCACTATGTGTATCCTTAAATAACATAAATGAGTTTTGCCAATACTTCAGTTTATGATAGACTCAATATTGCATGTATTCTTTTTTCTTGCTTCTTACATCCAACATTCTGTTTGTGTTATTCGTTCTTGTCATTACACGTAGTTGTAGTTTATCTTTATATATTTCTGTATTGTTTTTACCTAATGAATATCTGACAATCCATTGTGGTCTCTTTCCATTTTTAGACCATTATGAGCAAAACTGTTATGAACATTAGTGGACGTATCTTGGATATATACTCTTATACTTGTGAATATATTTCTGTGGATTTGGTGTTCAGGAGTAGAATTGTTTGATATAAGAAAGCATATCTTGAAACTTTGCTCTGTGACATCAAACCCATTTTCATAGAGATTTACTAATTATCATACCACCAACAGTGCAACGAGTTCTCATTGCCTGAGTCCAATTCCATTAGACTTCAAAATTTTTATTAAGTTATTGGGTATATAATGATATATCTTCATGGTTTCAATTTTTATTTTCCTGATTATAACACAGTTCTGCATATTTTCTCATACTTTCTGGCACTTCAGACTTCTTTTGGAATTAATTGCCCATTCGAGTCCTTTGGACATGTTCTTTTGGGTTCTTTTGTTTTCATAATTGATTCTAGGAGATATATATATATATGTATATATATATATATACATACACACACATACATGTATATACATATATGTATATACATGTATATATATATTTACATTTTTATTTAAATTCCTTTTAGTTTCACAGACTCTTAACTGTAGATGACAAACTTAGAGTCACTGGAAGGGAGGGCAAATGGATTAAGTAGGTGATGGTGATTAAGGAGGGCATTTGTTGTGATGAGCTCTAGGTTTTGTATGTAAGTAATGAATCACTAAATTCTACACCTGAAACCAATACTGTAAACTAACTGGAATTAAAATAAAAACTTGAGAAAAAATAGCTCTCTGAAGACCTTGGGGTAAGTGAGTTCTGCTGTGGTAAAGAGGACTCTTTTTCCCAGCACCTAGAAAAAAAAAATTCTACTTGCCCATCAACACCAGTGCCATCATTCCTCACCAATGCACTCTACCAAAAAGGGACTTAAACTTTCCCACTGGCAGCTGGAGGTCTGCTTTCAGTTACCAAAGCCATCTCTCCTGATGATGATGAAGTCTCCTTATAAAGTCACACCTCAAATGGATTTGGAATTTATTTATTTCATCACCCCTTACTTTGAACAATAGTGTAATTAATCTATCATTGATACAGAGTATTTAACAATTCTTTGTTTGTTTCAAGTTTTTATTTAAATTCTAGGGAACATATAGTGTAATATTGGTTTTAGGAGGAGAATTTAGTGATTCATCATTTATCATTTATATATAACATTATATATATATCATTTATATATAACACCCAGTGCTCAATTTATTTTTGTGTATGGTGTAAGAAAGTGATCCAGTTTCATTCTTTTGCCTGTTGCCATCTAGTTTTCCCATCATTTGTTGAGGAGATTGTCTTTTTCCCATTGGATATTGTTTCCTGAAGATTAATTGAGTAATAGTTGTGGGTTCTTTTCTGAGTTTTCTTTTCTGTTTCATTGATCAATATGTTTATTTTGTGCCAATACTATACTGTTTTGATCACTACAGCTTTGTAATATAACTTGAAGTCTGGAATTGTGATGTATCCAGCTTTGTTTTTCTTTTTCAAAACTGCTTTGACTATTCATGGTCTTTTGTGATTCCATACAAACTTCAGGATTGTTTGTTCTAACTCTGTGAAAAATGCTGTTGGTATTTTGTTAGGGATTGCATTAAATGTGTAGATTGTTCTGGGTAGTATGGACATTTTAACAATATTTATTCTTCCAATCCATGAGCGTGGAATATTTTTCCATTTCTTTGTATCCTCTTCAATTTCTTTCATCAGTGTTTATAGTTTTCAGAGTACAGGTCTTTCACCTCTTTGGTTAGGTTTATTTCTGGGTGTCTTACTGTTTTTGGTGCAGTTATAAATGGCATTGATTCCTGAATTTCTCTTTCTGCTGCTTCATTATTGGTGTATAGAAATGCAAGAGATTTCTGTACATTGATTTTGTATCCTGAGACTTTACTGAATCCATGTATCAGTTCTAGCAGTTTTTTTGGTGGACTCTTTTGGGTTTCTATATAGAGTATATGTCATCTAAAAATAGTTAAAATTTTACTTCTTCTTTACTGATTTGAAGGATTTTTATTTATTTTCATTGTCCAATTGCTATGGACATAGGACTTCCAGTACTATGTTAAATAACAGTAGTTGAGAGTGCACATGCTTGTTTTATTCCTGACCATAGAGGAAAAGCTCTCAGTTTTAGTATTAGCTGTGGGTTTTTGATATATGACCTTTACTATGTTGAGATATGTTCCCTCTAAGCCTACTTTATTGAGAGTTTTTATCATAAACAGGTGTTGTATTTTGTCAAATGTTTTCTCTGCATTGAAATGATCATACAGTTTTTTTAAATGGATTTATTTATTTATTTATTTATTTATTAAAGATTTTATTTATTTGACAGACAGAGATCACAAGCAGGCATAGAGGCAGGCAGAGAGAGAGGACGAAGCAGGCTCCCCGCTGAGCAGAGAGCCCGATGCGGGGCTCCATCCCAGGACCCCGGGATCATGACCAGAGCCAAAGGCAGAGGCTTTAACCCACTGAGCCACCCAGGTGCCCCGATCATACAGTTTTTATCCTTTCTCTTACTAATGTGATGTATCACATGGATTTTGATACTAAGCTTATATTGCCCTCATAAAATGGGGTGGAGAGGGTTTTCTCTCTATGAGTTATATAAACTCTATTCTCTATGAGTTACAAGAAGTGGGCAGGGGGTGCATGGGTGGCTCAGTGGTTAAGCCTCTGCATTCAGCTCAGGTCATGGTCTCAGGGTCCTGGGATCAAGCGGGGAGCCTGCTTCCTTCTCTCTCTCTGCCTGCCTCTCTGCCTGCTTGTGATCTCTGTCTGTCAAATAAATAAATAAAACCTTTTTTAAAAAAGAAAAAAAAAGAGAAGTAGGGGGTGATCAGAGATGCAGCAGAAAAGCAGTAGTATAAAGGCTAAAGAGAATCCATTGAAATTAGGAACTCAGGGTTCATTAGTAACTAAGAAGAGGCAATAAGACAAATGGGTTAGAAAGGCTGCTGATGTCAGGCTGTTCAAATTTTTATGTTATTTAATACCAAGTGACCTCAGGAGTATCACTAGACTCATAAGTAGTTACAACCTAAATGAGTTAATGATATGACACACCCAGAACTTGCCTGATACCTCAAAAAATGTTGCAGTTAACTGTCACTTATGAAGGAAATGTCGATAGGGTTATAATGCCTTATGTTGAAAAACTAACAAATCAGAAAGTAAAAAGGAAGGTTACGAGTAAGAAGCAAGCATAAGCATTTATAAGCATAAATATTGTATTATGTAAACTTGTATTATAAGCATAAATATTGTACTAGCCCAACATTTGGCTATAAGAGTGGCCATTAAATGGCTTCATGAAATTAAGGGGGCAAACATTCAGAATTTAAGAAAATGAGTATGTTCAAATGTTCGGATTAAGGAAGATAGGAAGAGAAATAAGATAAAGGAAAGAAGGGTGGTTATTGAAAGAGGTCTGGGAGAAAGAGAGGGGATCGGATCCCTTTGGATGGAATGCTTTATCTTAGACATGGAGGACATCGTTTTCCAGAATTATGGAGGGAGGGAGTAAAAAAAGAATGGTGTGAATGTAAGCAAGTCTTCATGGGTAGTGTCAAAGAGTTAAGGCTATTCTTAAGAAATATATTAACTTTTCTTGGAAAAGTGGGAGATGAGATTATATGCTGAGAAGGA